CCTCTGTGCTATTCCTTTGTGAGAGACAAACACTGTTCCCTACCATTCATCCCATGTACATCCAGATCGGTGAGAAAAAGAAGTGAGGCCTCATTCACCTTATGGCCAGGAGCTGCCTCCCAGAGCAAGACCTTTGTCCCAGTCTCTTACCTACCACTGAGCAGCCCCAAGCCAGTAACATGCTCTGGGCACATCCTGATGCCAGTATTTCTCCCCTCCACGTAGGAATTGCCTTAGAAGATCCATGTCCATCTCGCAATGAGCAATTCAGGACTTCACTGGCATGTTGCTTTTCTGTGCCAAAAATTGTCATCACACAGCGTGTATCCCACGGCACCAAGGAGAGGAACGGCAGTTTTGCACTGCTGAGACATTCAGCAGGAGGGAGAGTGGGATTTTCCAAAGGAGGGCAGAGCACAGCTAGAAATAACTGCCTTTAAAGTGGTGACATTTTTATGCATGGAAGAACTAACTTAGAACATTTTTAGAGGTTTTTATAAATCCCGCTGAGCCCAGTGCAATGGGATTCATCATATGAGGCACCTGTTTTACGGGGAGGAGGTATACAAGCAATAACCGAATATACAGTTTTTGCACTCTCTCAAAGTTTCCCTAAATAGCTCTTTTCATAACCACAGGTAGGATATGCAGAAAGCGTGATGAAACCCAGAAAGTTTGGGTGGTTTTGCATTTCTCTCTTTGCAAGAGAAATGTAGACTGCTTTTAAAGAATAATACTAACAAAAAAAGCTGTAATATTCTCTTACATACCCTTTCTGCGTTCATGGGTGTGTCTTAATATCAGCAATTAAGTTTTGCAAAACAATAAACCCCCTTTTTGTCTTTCAACTCTCTGAAATGAAGCTGCCAGGAGCTTTTGGATTAAGCTTTATCAGGCTTCAGTTAGGAAAGCCTCGTGGAGGTTACGTAGCCAAATACAACATACAAATCAAATTATGGGAGAGATGAATACAGAGTTGTTAAATTAATTTTGTTTGTTCCAGCCCATTGGAATGTTTTTAACATGAAGAAAATAATTCTCTGCTGTATGGCTGGCCTGCCCAGTGCTTAGGGCTGTATTAGCATGCTGCGTTTGTCTGCCAGCGGCAAACAGGTTTTCTCCAGGCTTGAGTGAGCCCTGGAAGATGAGGCTGGCCAAAGTGCTGGCTTGCCCCCTGCCTTCCCCAGTGGGCTGATCTGCAGAGCTGCTGGGCAGCCCCACACATGACCAGCAGCTGGAAGTGCCACTGAGGCTGCCCTTTGTCAGGTCAGAGGGCTTCCTCCAGATGCACCCGCGCAACCGTCCCGCCTCTGCAGGACTTTTCCATAATGCAGGAGCCAGCTTGTTTGCTAGGTTCTCCCAGTTCAGGTCATCTCTGACAGGAAAGTGAGGTGAGTTTTTTCACTCCAAGAGGTCCAGGGCATGTCTCACTGCCTGCAGTGAGGCATTCCCATGTTTAGTGCCTCTGAGATGTGGCCCTGTGGTCCCAAAGTCTTGACTTGGGGGTCTGCTAGCCCTGGATATAGTGGCTTTGGTATCTGCTATAGACCTGTGCAGAGCCAGTTCAGGTATCTGCTCAGGATTACACTACACCACAGAAAGATATCCTGAAGTCCCCTACAATATTTTGTTCTCCCTTAGGATATGAATTTAGAAGAAAGCATTAGTAATATTTTTTCTAAAATTAGCTGAGGTGCTACTTAGTGTGAAATGATGCTGGTTGTTGAGTTTGGTTCTCTTTTTTTTCTCAAGCAATCATGAATTCACAGGCTTTTTTTGCTTATTAAGCCTGGTTTTATAAAAAAAAAAAAAGGAAATGAAAAGAAAAGCTTGTGTTTCTCTTTAGTGTGTCCTGATTAAGCTTCCCCCTCCCTGCCCCAACCTCTTCCTCCATTTCTATCTGTCCTTTAGCTGCATATTTTGCAAAATCAGTAGAGGTCCTTTAGCATCTAAAAAAAAAAAAAAAGAAAGCAGGAAGTCTGTGATTCTTTTAATCTTTCAAAAATCCAAGGCACAGAGAGTATGGAAAGGAAAATTAGATCTCTGTGAAATGCTAGTTGTTTTATAGATGGTCAAATCATTACACTTTTTTCCTTGCCTTTCAGACATTGACTATGTTACTATGTATCACTTTAATTAAATCATCAAATTGAATTACTGGATCAAATGTTTTTTTATTCCATTGTGTCCTAAGCAGGTTTGGTTAAATTAATAAAACCATATGTTTAATTTAAAAAAAAAAAAAAAAAAAGCTTTCTCTTTTGCCCATTCATAAGCTGTTATAAAAAATGTGGCTGAACAGAGCAGGCCAGTTATTACTTAATTACATCAAATGCCTTGCAGTAATTTGAACAAAGTCATACTAAGTCATGAAAATTTTGTAATATTTACTGTGAAATAGCAATATTGTAAATTCAGCCTCATTTTAGCTGGCTGTGAATGAGGTTTGACCTCAGTGAAGTCATTGGGGTCACTCAGGTGCTTAGAAGTGCTTATGACCTTCTTGGATCAGGGTGCAGGGTCAGGGAGGGTCTCTCAACTCTGAGTTTGTGAGTCTCCTGTTTACCCTTGGGAAATACCACTTCTCTTCTCTGACTGGCACGAGCTATTCCAAATGGCATCAAAGGCAGTGGCATGTGACAGCCCCCTCTCCCTCGAGTGGCTTGGGGTCCTTGTCTGCAAATCAGCCGCCCAGCCATCGTTCAGAGGGCTATTGCAATTAAGGTAGATCTCTCTGTCTCTCGGGAAGGTTACCTGCTTGAATTATTTCTAAAACAATTTGTTGCATGATTACCTTAAATATATAAATCTCTGCATGTCCTCCTGGAGGACAAGGGCTGGATAAGGGTTTTAGATCTGGGTAGTCCTTCACCCAGGCTCCTATCACTGATGGGATTTGATTAGGTGGAGCGATAAAGGCTGGCCTGGCATTTTGAAGTGTAATTCTTTGATGACAAAGGGTGTCAAAAGGGGCAGTTATGATTTATTGGTGCAGTTATCAATAAACAGTGATGTCAGTGAGAATTGATCTGACTATCTCAGTGGAAAGAGGTGAGCATGGAGAGGCATACCAAGGATCAGGAAGCTCTCTGAATAGTGATAACAGCAACTGCTTTCAGCTGTGCCCTCTTGTCCAGGTCCTGGCCACCTTCACACTGTGCTCTGCAGCATCCTGGCTCTGTGGGCTCCCTGCAGAGACCAGGAAGGAGCCAGAGGGAAGGTGTCTGCAGGCAGCAGACCATGGTCTGGCTTCTGGCTTTGTGGCATTGACAGCAGAATGCTGTTTTGATCCTTTCAACTCTGTGTAAGTAGAAACTCATAAAGGTTTTCTCAACAGTTTGAGGTACTGTAGGGCTTGTTTGCTTTGCTGGATCATCCTTCTCAGTTGAGCAGAAGGATCTACTGCAAAACCGCAGGATTGTCACCCCTCATGGCAAGAGCAAACATCAAAGATCTTTCCAAAGAGTATTTCTGCAGTTTTCATTGTCTGGTTCAGGCTAGCTACAAATGTGAGCTATAAGTGCAAAAATGCATTTCACAGATATTTTTCTATTGTACGAGTAGTATTGGTGTTTAAAGCATTTAATCATTTTTATTTAAGAACTGTAGCTGTTTCAGTAATGTAACAGCAGAGCTGCATGACCAGCCTGCAAGTCCAGGCATAGGAATAGACATTTCTCCCCTTCAGTGCTGCCAGGACTCTTTAGAAGTGAAATAATGGCCAAATATGCACGTAGTCACATACCTGCAGAGTGCAAACAAGCTCAGTGTGTTGGCTTGAAATGGAAAAGTCGCATTGGGAAAAATAATTCTGCAAACAGTGTCAGCCTGATGGGCTGGGTGACACTTTGCCTTTCCCTGGCAGAAGAGATCATTTCCTTTGCCTCGGCACATGTGTTTAGGTATCATTGCAAGTGATTTTTTCTTGGTTCAGAGTTTATATTGGGAAAAAGAATGTGAGAATCTGCCATGAATTGGGTATTTTAAACGTGATTTTTAAAGCTTGGAAAAAAAATCTCAACTCTTTATAGCTGGGAAGGGGATGATGTATTTTTCCCATAGCATGTGAGTGCCATCTAGTGTTGTGCATCCCCACCCGGACCTTTCCATGGCACCTTGAAAAGTGGTTTTTGTTTCAGCAACTGTGAGGGGGCTGTGTTCACCCCACTCCTTGAGTGGATGGGCTGGGTTTGCACCTGGGCTTGGTCTCCCCTGCAGAAGTTTTGGGGTTGGTGCTGCTGCAAGCAGAAGCTGTGTTTTTTCCACTGGTTAAGCTGTTCTGATGTTGATGACCCCACTAACTTAAGTGTGGGTGAGAAGTGACTTGTGTCCTCACACTGTAGGCAGGGTTAGGAAGGCAGGACTTTCAGAGGCTGGCTGGGGGTTCCTCCCCTGCTAGGATGAGACGGCCAAGGCCATCAAGAACCACTCTTTCCTGTGCTAGCAATACATTATTGGCAAACAGCTGAGCATCTCTGAAGGAAAATACATAGAAAGAAGAGTATTAAATAACTTCTGTCATATGTATAAATGTACTGGGTTAAGAGGAGAATACTTACTGACCCAATAGTGTTACATTTTCAGAGGTTTCAACTCTTTCCAGGGCCAGCAGAGTACACTGGGGTATTAACCCCTTACAGCAGGAGGGCATGGATGAGGGAAGCTGTGGATCAGGTCGACTGGACTTCTTAATGTTCCAGTGTAGAGCTCTTAAGTCACAAAGTTAAAATGTATGTACAATGTCAGGACTGAAAATAAGTCGAGAACTAAGCAACCTGCCTGCAGAGAATGGATTCTCTCACTCACTTTACTCAGGAGAGCAGAAAGTATCTGCAGGTGGTATTTAATCCCATGGTCTCAGTGGATTGCAGTCTAAACTGTTACTGTAGGCAAGAGCATTAAAGAAAAAAACCTGGCTCTTAGAGTGAGGCACAGTTCTTCCTGTTTGTTTTCTCTTGGTTATTTAGGAGAGTTTCATCTTTTTTCCTTCTGTGTTTCAGCTTGCAGCACTCCTCCAGTGAACATGAAAGTGCAACCTGTGAACAGGACGGCGTTACTGGTAACCTGGAACCAACCAGAAACCATCTACCACCCTCCGATCATGAACTACATGATCTCATATAGCTGGGCTAAAAATGAAGATGAAAAGGAGAAGACTTTCACCAAGGACAGTGACAAGGACCTGGTAAAAGCACAGCATCAAACCCAGACACATGGATCAAGCTATCCTTGTATTGTTATTTTCTTGGTAGAAGGAGGTAGAGGAGGAAAGCAGTTGTTGCCTTATAGACAGGCTAGTGTTTCACTCACAATGAATTGCTATTTAAATGTTCAGCATTAGTTGAACGTTGCTGAACAGGCCACCCCAAACACTGGACTGTGTATTTATAGTTTATGTGAGTGCATAAAGGACTAAATCTGCAGACACTTTTTCATATACTGTTGGTGAGAAGCAGCTGGCTCGGGAAATGTTTAGGCTCTGAATATTACAGATTTTTGCATTAAAAGTCCAATCCCCCCAAAATCTGATCCTGGGCTCAGGCTTTTTACTGTGCATAGCCCCTTGCAGTCTTTGGAGCAGTTTCTGGCAGTAAGGGCTGCCAGAGGCAGGAATGCATAGTCAGGGCTAGAAGATTATTGTGGAGTGGCCCTGTACAAGCACTGCCTACATCTGGCAGCATGAGAAAAAGAGGGAAGAGCAAGACAGCTCCAGCACAGATGGAAACACTGCTCTATCTCCTCCATTTAGGATTTCATCTCCTTGTCATTCTTGTCTAAGTGGAAGCAAGTATTGTACTGGTCCTTAACATTCTCTGCATATAAAATCAAAGTGACATATTCAGGTTTGAAAGGCCTCCATTTATTGTTAATCAAAGAAAGCCTCTAGAATAATGAAATCAGTAATTGTATATGCACATGAAAAATGCAGCAGCACAGTGTTATTCCTAATGACTGTTACCATTTTTTTTTCAAATACACAGTCCTCTGGGCCCATTCAATCAGTTATACAATAATACTTCTCTTATTCCCTCAGATGAAGATTCTTTTACTTCATTTCCATTTATATTTTCAATTTCCCCACTAGACATTGTTATCTGGGTCACATTAGGGAACGATCTGCCTCACAAAATCAGAAAGGAACCTACTGAAAGACACCCAAGGTTATGATGTATTGTAACCTCTCTCTTGCCGTAATTTCACACTCTTAAGGGAGATTTTTTTTTAATCAGGTATAAGGAGGAAAGCCTTAATCAGCAAAAATGAGGTTTGCACCATGAAAGCATCCTGTTTTATATAAAAGAAATAATTAAAAGTGCAGGGGATGTGATGGAGTGATAGCTTGGAAATAAATTACAGTGAGACCCTGTGGTGTTCAACAGAGCTTGGAGGTTAAGAAAGCAATGACAGCTTAGTCTGTTTTAGGGGCAAGAGAAGAAGGAAACCGTTTTTCAGAGGGAAGTGCAATTTGTTTTCAGTGCTCTGGCAGATACAGTTGGGCTGTCCCATCTTGAATCGGAGCTAGGCAGTGTTTAGCTAAGGACATCATGGGTATTTGAAGTGACCCACACAGCTACTGCTGTGAACTGATGTGACTGTGAACCAAGGCAATACAAAAGAGTTTCTGGAAAGCATCAGAGCAGTCTCTCAGGTCTAGGAGTAAGCAGGGATATCCCAGCCCAGGGTGCTGAGCCATCACGTTGTACAGTACACCAGCATCAAATTGCCATAGCCAGTTTGTTGCAAAATAAAGTCAGTTTGAACATGCAGTGACTTTTCTGGGCTTATCTCACATTTGGGACATGGATCTCCACCTATAAAAATCTTATTTAATTCCTGTAAGGTTGAATGATTTGAACTTTAAGTTTTTCTGAGGAAAGCAGAGACTTTCAGGTATGAAGACTGTCATGAGAATAGATGTGGGACATGTTCATTTCTTTCTCTTGGGCAGAGTCTGGGTGCATCCCTTTGGCCTTCAGCCTTGCCCTCTCCCAGGGGACCAGTGAATATTTCTGTTTAGAAATATAGTTTGTCTTACGTGGCATAAATGTCCTGTGTTAGCACAATGCTTTATATATTTCAAACTGATCGTGGACAGTACTGTGGGGGTAAAAAACTGAATAATATCTATTTTTTTTAAACAGAAGGCCATCATTAGCCATGTCTCACCTGACATCCTTTATCTGTTCAGAGTTCAAGCAGTTTGCCGAAATGAAATGCGTAGTGACTTTAGCCAGACTATGCTCTTTCAAGGTAACAAAACCACATACCTATTTTTATATTAAACAATTATTTGTTTCATATTTTCTTTTCACAGTGCAATATGGTGTGAAATGATTTCAGAAGATGTTTGAGTGCATGTAGACAATGCTAATTTCAGATTAGTGGCCAGTGACTTAATCTGAATTGCATTTCTGGTGATGAGGGTTTGTCTACACCTCTCTGCTGGCAGGGTTTGTCAGGTTTTAGGAGAATTCAGGGCTTTTCTTGGTACTAGTTTTCTCAGACAGATTCATCAGAGACTGCTTATACATCAGAGGCACAGCTATAGCAGAATGTGAGTCTGATCGGTGTCTGTTTTATGTAAAGAGGAAAGGAGATCAGTCCTACCTTGACAACCACACGTGGAGACACTCAGGTTTTACCATGCATACAACCTCAGTGATTTCCAAAACATACATATTTAAAGGAAATCAAAAGTATTAGATGCTAAGCTGTCCTTTGTCATGAATTTCCTTTCAAGTTTATTGGAGAAATCTGGTAGTGCTGAGATTTGGTAGAAGAACTTGAAGTTTTTAGAGCTTTTTTAAGTGCTGAAGTTTTGCTCCTTCCTGGGAATTTATTACTACGTTTTTTACTAAGTAGAGCAAAATTTACCTCTGCTGAGAGCATTCCCTCCCACTCCAGCTTACAGATACATAAATCCTGTAATGGGCAACAGAAGAATAAAACAAGCGGAGTTAAACATTTAAATCTTTAAGATGAAGAAAGGAGCTGTCACTTGGATCTGATGCTGTATAGGGAACAAAATAATAGCAACGTTTTTCTGTGTCGTTTTTGGAAAATTGGGGGTGGGGTGAGTTAATCCTTCTCTGTTAGCACATAGCATCTGAAGGATATGAAGCTGTGGACACAGTTTGCTTCTGTGGTGGTCCTGCCACAGTGTTATCAGCATTGCAGGGACAGCAGGGGTCAGACAAGAAGTGTCCTATCCAACCCACATCTCATATGTAGCTCTGTTCTTAGTACCTCAGCACGGTGTTTTGGACTTGACTGTAAGTGCCAGGCAGAAGTCAGAAACTGGTATGTTGCTGATTATGACCTCTTTCAGCAGATGACAGAATGGAAAAATTCTTTGAAATTTGACCATGATACCTGTTTAATCACAGTTAGGAGTAAGTCATTACTGACAGCTTTGTTGGATATTCTTGGGGCACTCCAGCCCAGTGTTCAAAGCGGTGGAAGTGATTCACACATCTGCAATGGGAGTAGATGATGTGATTCCTTCCAAGTGTCCCCAAAAAGGATCTGCTGTTCTAATCTCTGGCTGTACCCAAGATCTAGAAAATTAATCCACTTGAGCTTTCAAAACATTATTCAGAGCTTGATCATGGTTGTAGTTGAGATATATAGCAATAAATAATAAGGACAGAAGAAACTATTATCATCAGCTACTCTTGCTTCCTGTGTAAGTCAGGGTGTTTCATCCAGTTTGAGATTGAAGGACAGAGTGTGTTTTCTGACAGTGCACTTAAACTGGCACTGCTGGGCCTGAGTTAAAGTCAAGCAAGTCTGTCTTTAGGCACATGTACAAAGTAAGGTGAGTAATGCCAAACGAGCTGAGTTTCTTTTGCTCCAAACTGAAAGCTGCATCCATATTTTGCAGCAGCGTGTTGAGCAATTGCTCAGCAGTTGTATCACTGCCTCCCTTCCCAACCTGCTGACACGCTGCTCTTCTTCCTCCCTCAGCTAACACCACTCGAATTTTCGAGGGGACCAGAATTGTGAAGACAGGAGTGGTAAGTCGTGGATTTGGGGAGCTGGGATTTGGGGACGTTCCCACCAGGTGGCAGCACGGTGTTGGAAATCTGCGGCAGGACTCAGCTTTCCTGGGGAGGGGGGTGTTCAGACCCACCAGAGAAGGATTTATAGCATACAATATATTTCCAATATGAAATATTGCAAGGGGTTTGGTTTTCTAGCTTCATGCTCTGAGAGGCTTCGACTACTGAAAAATCAAGTGTTAAAAAAATCTTCCCAAATCTATATTCAACCCATTTAGAGGGGATTTGTGATCTTAATGATAACTGTGGAAATAAATTTAATTTTTTTTATTAACTGTATGACCAGAAGGATATACACCAGGAATAAGGCCTCATACACAACATCTTTACTCTTCCAGTGCTCTAAGGATACCTGTTATTGTGTGAATAAAGCCTCAACAGTCTCTTTATTTGAATTTTAATTCACAAGTCACTGGAGGCAACTTTTGTGTTCCAGAATCAAAAATCTTGATTTACATTTACAGTAAAACTGGAATACACTGTTTCAGTTTTGAAAGCATCTTATTAGTTTATTTAACATAAGCTATCCACAACCTAAATTTCTTGGCATTCAGTGTACTGAATTGTTCAGCCAAATTTATGGACCGGATTCATACTGTTGAATTTACTCTAAGTACATTGCTTCTGTTTTTATTCTGTTCCAGTTTGATATGCTCCCTAGTAAGCAAATAACACATACAAAACTTGCATTTGAATGATTAATGTTTGTTTAATGATGTATAGGGGTATTCTAGACATATAAAATCTGCTGTCAAATTTTAATACTCAGTCCAGCTTTGAGACTGTTCATGCCAGTGAAAAGCAAATCTCACAGTGCCGGAGGGATTCACATTGATAAGTATCTGAAAGTTTAGATGCTTATTTAAAGTTCTGGCTTGAAATCTCTAAAGCACGGCTTTTCATCTGAGATCTCAGGTTCTCTGTGATTGCAGCTGGTCAAAAATAACGTGAGAAAGCAGCCTTTCTTGGTTTGCTGCAGCATTTCAATTACATGGCCTGACTGAACCTGGGAATTGCAGAGAGATGCAGAAATACTGTGAAGTTATACATTTCAGCTTCAAAAAGAAACATTTTACTTTTTTAAAAAATGTTCAGTAGCTCCTATTTAACCCTTGTTTGTACTCATCTGATGTGTACCTTTCCAGCTACTAGTCCTCCCAGTCATGAATTGTGTAATGTGAGACATTTTTCAGTAAATCAGAGAAGGTGGTCAGGTTGTCCAGGCAGAACTGCTGGCTCAGCTCTTCCACAGAATTATTCCTTGTGTTTAGTCAATTCACTTCAGTGTCTTTTTCCACATGTGATTCAGGAAGGGGAATGACTAGGTCCTTATGTATAGACCAAGGTTTAGTTCTTTGTGTATATACCAAGGGGTTTTGTTTCCAGCTGAGCACACATGTGTGCACAGAGACCTGCATGCAAGCGTGTGTGCAGTGGGTTGACATTAGAATAACAGTGGCAGGGTACAGAGGATGCAAAGTCCATAGCTCATTCCCTGCTTCCTCTCAGCTCCCTAGGGGAAGTGGGCAGTGTCAGGCCTGGCTTTGGGTTGCTGGTGGTGGCCAGGGAGAGTCCTGTGGTTGTAGAAAACTGAGTCTATACATAAGTGTCGCAGCCTGGTGGTCCTGGCAGAGGTAGTGGTGGCTTGCTGAAGGGCTCCGGATGCTCTCCAAGTGCTTCATGACTGCCCAGGTGGTCTTTTCTAATGATGCCTCACTGCAGCACCAGTCCTTAGGGGAATAATGCTGATGGGTAAATTAATGAAATAAAAATAGTACCATTGGAGGGCCTCACAATGTGTGTGGGAAGAGCCAGAGTTCCTTGTCAGAACAGACCCACCAGCCATGGATGCTCACGTTGGCAGCACAGCCATTATTTTGAGACAGCCCTTATGTAATACTGTATTTTTAAACTTCGGTATTCTGAGGATTAAAGCACTGTGAGTAATGCAGCTAAACTCATTAAACTCCTTTACATTCTCCTCACCCCAAGAGGAAACGTTACTCACAAGTCAATGGTGACGTGGGTGGAGAAGGTCCTGATGTAAAATAAAGATAAGGATAAAGAGGGTTTTGATGATGGCGTGGTGAATTCAGGGAGGTTTCTTCCCTTTGTGGTTTGCTGGTAGCTCTGTGGCTTATTCTGTCCTGGCTCAGCCCTGCATCCCGCTGGTGGGAGTCTTTGGCTTTAAGAGAAGAGCAACCAGAATGGCACATGTGTTGAAAGGGAGGGAAATGCAAAAGAAAAATGACCCCAGGTAGGATGTTGGGCCCCTGCTGATGCTCTCTGCTGTGTTTTCTTCCCCTCTGCTGCTGGTAACCTCCTCAAGCCCACGGCATCTCCTGCCTCCTCAGCTGACATGGCTCCCATCAGCTCTGGCTCCTCCACCTGGACCTCCTCGGGGCTCCCCTTCTCCTTCGTGTCCATGGCCACAGGGATGGGGCCTTCCTCCAGTGGCAGCCAGGCCACCGTGGCCTCAGTGGTGACCAGCACCTTGCTGGCAGGGCTGGGTTTCAGCGGTGGTGGCATCTCCTCCTTCCCCAGCAGCGTCTGGCCCACCCGGCTGCCCACAGCAGCCGCCCCCAGCAAACAGGCGGGACGGCCCGTGGTGGCCACCACCGAGGCCGCCGCCGCCTCCCCAGGGCCGGAGCGGGACTCGGCACTGACCAAGGATGGCGAGGGAGCTGAGGAGGGGGAGAAGGATGAAAAGAGTGAAAGTGAGGATGGGGAGCGGGAGCACGAGGAAGAGGAAGAAAAGGATGCTGAAAAGAAGGAGAGAGACAGGGCGACGGCAGCCGCTGAGGCGCGCAATAGCACAGAGCCCAGCGTGGCTGTGGCTTCCCCCAACCGGACTGCTGAGGAAGAAGGAAATAAAACCATATCGGGTGAAGAGCCAAACCAAAACATTGCCCCTGCGGCTGGAGGTCCCGAGGAGGAGAGCTTGGATGAAGCCAACACTCAGCCCCAGCCGCTCCCTTCCACCCAAGTGCCACCAGCGTTCACCGATGAACTGTACCCGGGCAAGATCCCAAGAAGACCAGAGACTACAAGAAAACCTCCTCCAAAGGAGGACAGGTTTCCAGAGGAATACCCCTCAGATAACAAATTCATCACCATTAATCCAGGTGAGTGACCTCCAGGGAAAACTGGTTTTACCAACATAAGAGTGTTGGAAAATGACACAATCCAAATTCCCCTACTGACTTCCAGGAGATACAACATTTCTGTGGTGCCTGACTTCATCCAGTGGGCAGGTTGTCACAGGACTCAATCCTCAAATTGTTACTGGTGGGGAGCAGAGGGGGAAGGAACATCCTTTGCTTTTATTAGGACAGATTCATGGTCCTTGTAACTTACCACAAGAGAAAATTTGCAAAAAATGTTAACTCCCAACATGCTGCATCAAGAATTTTGTTTAAAAGAAAAAGGGAGAGGAATGCAGTGAACCATAGCTGTGAAATTAATTTGGAAGATTGGCTGCTGTGCCTAACTGGTGTTTCGTGGGAAGTTTGCTATATATGCTGCAAGCTAATTTATTTTATCTGCAGGATTCTCCCCGACTGGGTTTTGAGATATTCTCCCAAATATGGGAACATTGCTGCTTTATTTCTCATCACAAAACTTACATTCTCTGATCTTCCAAAACAAGGCACCTTCTGCACTGGAGTTACCTTCTTTTTTTTTCCTGTGGGAAGGACAAATCTTAGCCAGGCTGAGTTCACATATTTTCTGTTTGTCCTGATGAGAATTACCAGTGCTCCTGTACTCACCAGCTCTGGGTGTATGTACCAACTCCACAGTATATACACAGCAAATACAACCTTTTGGAAGCCTGCCTGGGTGATCTGCATGTGCACCAAGCCCAGTGTGGTCCGGGTTTGCTGCACAGGCCTATGCAAACAGGTATCTCATGGTGCTACCAATGTGTGGAATGTCCACACATGTTTCCGCTCAGGGAGTTCCAGGCACTGGTGAGGAAAACTGCAAGGAGCAAATGGAGTACATATGTGTGGATTTATTTGCAGAGTAAGTACTGGGATTGAGATACGGAGACGAGTTTATATGAGTGATTATGTGTATTACCACAGCATTTATAAGATAGTGCACTTTTTTTGTTTGGAGTGGGTTTTTTTACTGTTATTGTTTATTTTGGTAATCTCAAAGTGTTTTGTAATTTTCTTTTTCCATCAAAGCTGCTCTAGAGTACTGTGAAAAAACCTTGCATATTTATTTTTCCCTACACTGATAAACACAAGAATGCAGACATTGTGCACTCAGTTATAGCTCGGAACCAATTTAAAAAACAAAGCTAAATCCAATCTTTAATAACATTTGTTACAGGAGTGCGGACCTGACTCTAACGCTGTGAATCATAACTGTTCTGCAAGAGATCAGATTAACAATGCAAGACAAGAAACCTACACCCAAATTGTGCTGATATTTTTAAAATACAATGCTGTTTTTCTTACTCCTCAGCTGGAAATCTTCAAAGTCCAGTGCTCCCACTGAACATGGTCTGAGATGCCTGTCAGGAAACTTTCAACCTGCCACTTGCCCTAATCACCTTTCTGTCAGGAAGAAGGGAACTTTGCCATGTTAGGAGTAAGCATTCAGCACCAGTTAGGTTCAAAGCCCAGCAATTCAATCTGCCTGGGTAAACCTGCTTCTGAAATAGTTCTTCCTGTCTTTGGCTTCCTTATTTCTCATGTACCAGTTTCTTGTATGGCCCAAGTACAATGTCTCTTATATAAGACCTACAAAGGGCCTCGTGGCTTGTTCTCAGCCTAAAAAATTGGAAAAAAAAGATTAGTAGTTAGCCTTAATTCTTAGCTTGTGACAAAGAGATTGTTAACAATTCCATAGTGAAGTTAAGATAAAAATATTAAAATAAATGGGATGGGAAATATTTTTAATATTGCTAAGAAATAGTTACTAGTTATTGTGAATTGTATCCCCTTAGTCTGTCTCTTTTTAGCACGCAGAGAACCATTATTGAAAGTGGTTCAGTACAGCTTTGCCTGCTACTAGACAGCCTCTTTTAGAGCTCTGCTCACTTCCAGGCTTGATGGCTTGAAGTCACTGTGCCTGAAGACTACAACAAAGACAATCAGTTTTGAAAGTACCCTGCAAATTAGGTTTTCTGTACCTATATATGGAGGGAGGATAACTTGCTGTGATTACTGCATCTTAAAAAAGTGGCTTCCATATGTAGGAAACTATATCTGAAATTATCAGCACATGTTAGATGGAGAAAAGATAAGTGAGAGTTGCCTGTTTCCTCCAAATTAACATTAGTTAAATCATAGTTAAACCTCTGGCGACCTACCTGAGATGAGGAGAAGGAGCTGCACCGTTTTTTCAGCTCCCAGACAAGCCTGTCCCAGATCCCTCAGTGTCCTGAAGAGGATACTCAACAGCAAAAGGGCTGGGAATGACTATTCAGAGAAGAAGAAGGGCCCATTTGTGCCAGTTTCTTGTAGTAGCGGCTCATTCCCTGTCCATGACCTCCAGGTGGAAAAATTTAGGTTGATCACAAACCTGGCGAGTCCCTGTCCAGACATTGGGAAAGGCTAATTTTTAGTGAGAACATTTCGAGGTGTTACTGGGTTTGGAATGGAGCCTTTCAGTCTGAATCTCTTTGTACCTTCAAAGTCTCTTCAGGCAAGTCCTTCTTTTCTTTTTATCTTGAGCCACCAGGCTTTGATAGGTGAGGTCTAACTAGCCTGGAATTTGCCCAAATATTTTACTAGATGTGTCCAAATACGGCCTGCCTGGCCTGTTGGGAGTGCTGCCCCTGTGAGAAGACACTTGGCAATGCAGGAGAAGGAGCTTTCAGGCTAATCTAGGTTGCCAAAGACACAGGCTGGTGAATTAGACTAGCACAAAGCCTAAGACTAGCTGATTCAGCTTAACTGTTTTTCACAGTAGTATGGAAATTTTCAATTCATACAGACAGACCTGACCTAGCTCCTGTCAGTTGAGTTCAGTGAAACTGCAGCTATAGCAAGACCTCATCTATGAGAAATGGCCTTAAAGATTTTCCATAACAAGGTAAACCTAAAATCAAGACAAGTGAAGCCAAGAGGGCATTGCCAGAAGTGTCTGAAAGGATTTCTGAGCATCAGGACAGTTAAGAGTGTCAAGACCACTTCCAAAGTGAGCAGAAAGCACCCCTGCAGTTTACTGTGTCTCATTGTGAAGGCGGAAACATTTTTGGATGCATTTTTTCTCCCAGAAAGCAGGTTTTAAAAAGCTGACAAGGTTTCAAAACTGTTTTTATGAATAGAAAGTTTAATCATTTTAAAGAGTAGAAAATTGTTTCATAACAATGTACACTTGTAAAATTAATTATATAGCATCAAATTAGCAGTTGTAAGGAGATAACTAAATGGGGAAGTACTCATGAGTGTGGATGATTAGAGGAGAACAGGGAACTCATGAGAAATTACAGGGAAAGTGCAAGGCCAATTAGTACAGCAAGGCTCATTTTCTTTTAGTGCTTATTTCACACGCACATACACACACCTCTCCTGAGGCCATGTCATTATTTTCCAAATGGCATTGGCCTCTTCTTGCCTGGTGGTATCAGCCAAGGCTGATGATTTTCTTCTGTCACCGAACGCTTGCTTGCATTCTCCTCTTTCATTTTCCTGATCATCCTTTTCTCTGTTTTGGTGCCCACATTAGACTAATTGTACCTTTGGTCTGCAACTGTTACGCACACAGCTGCTCAGCATTGTCCGTGACTCTGAAACCTGGAAATTAGAAAAACAGCAATTAGAATGATACTCTACCAAGAAAGGGGGCGGGGGAAGGGGTGGAGGAAAGAAAGAAAATGAAAAGGAAAGAAATGAGGGGAAAAAATGAAAATCTGGATGATTCAGTTTCATCAGGCTAGAGAAGATACAGTCCCACGGAATTTTAGTTGATTGTGCCGGACAGTTAAACAGATCCTTTGTTTTTGACAGAAGATAAAAACTGGGCTGTTGTGGGCAAAATAACAGCTGTCCAGTTGGGGCTTTTGCCTGAGTGGTGAGCTGGATCTGAGAACAGAAACCTGGGTTTGGCTCTTCATCCAAATTTCAGCCAGATCCTCCCATCCCTCACCCACTTCTCCTAAGTTCCTCCCACAAGGGGGCTTTGTAGAGACAGAGATGATGTGCAGGGTTAAATTTCAAGCCTGGTGTACGCCTTTAACAGAGACTGAATTTTGGTTTTTAGAGCAGTCTTTGCCAGGTCTGAGGTTACAAAAGCCTTTTGGGAATAACCTCATTAAGATAATTAAACATCTGTGTAATTCCTTCTTCTCCATACGCAGCAAGGATTATTAAGCTGTATTTTCATGTAGCGCTTGAGCCATTTGCACACAGGATCACAGAATGGATAAGGTTGGGAGGGACCACTGAAGTCAGCTAGTCCAGCCTCACTGCTCAAGAGGGGAGCACATTACTCAGGATTGTGTCCTGACAGCTTTTAAATATCTTCAGAGATTTACATGGCAACTTACAGGAGGAAACAGCAGAATGGCTTGAAAATAAAAGTGAATTATTTGATGTCTGCAAACTGTGAGTTTCAGATATAGGATTAAATATGATTGGCATTTGTTTACAAAGCAGTGAAAAGCCATGTTTAACTGTGCACATCCTGTAATTGTGAACACTACAGGAATGCATTTAAAGAAATAGGGAAGAAATAGCTGCACAATGACATGAGCTTGTATCAAAGGTAATACATTTTGAAAAAACATGGTTTTGCCTTTTTATCATTTAATAATATGGCAAATAATATTTTTCAAAATTAATTAATACCTTTTTATAAGTCCATAACTTCATTTACTCAAAGGAAAGATGTGCAAGTTGACTGTCTTTTAAGAGGCCATGTGGTCTGAGGCAGTTCAGCAGCAGGCTTTGGTTAGTGGTATCTGTAATGGTACAACAAACAGAACTTTGTCCTGGCAGTTTGTGCAATGATGAGGAATGATAAAAGTAGATAGGTTATATAGTACAGCTATGGTTGCTTATTATAGCAAGCAGTGTTACTTAAGGGAAATAAACATGTTTCTTTTCTCAGGAACCAATTACCAAGAATTCACAGGAAAAAAAGTACATTTCACAAGTGGTAGGAGCCTCTTTCTTACCTTGACCTTTGTGCAAGAGTTGCACTGCCAGAGCTTCCCTCGCTGCCTGACGCCATCCAATACTCCCTGTGCCAGGGCTCATCCATCCAGTGCCGGGGTGGAACTGCTGAATGGGTGGTTCACAGAAGTTACGGATTTTTCCAGACACAGGAGTAGATTTAGCAGTGCCAGGGCTTGTATCATGTGGGACCTCCCGAAACAGATATGCTGTAATAATTTTTATTCCTTCCTACTGGGATGAATTCCAAGCCAGTAAAAGGCAAACTGAATTAATTCGACGAAGGCATATGCCACTGGAAACTGTTTACATTTCTTAGCAAAAATGGAGTTTCCTAGTCCATTTTTTAAGCTTACCACCACCACCAGCAAGTACGGCTTATGGTGGGCACCATTACAAGGATATGCTGTTTGCTTACTCTCAACACATTATTTAAGCAGCAGAAAACACCTAAGACTTTTTTTTCAAAGCCAGCACAGGAACTGTGTCTTTTTTTCTGAAGCACATCACTGCTTGGGCATTCCCAACTGGAATTTCAGGGCCAGCCATCAGCATGCAGGAATGGCATTTGCTCTTCTGGCACTCAGCATACTGAGCACTTTCTTATCCTCACATCTGTGGTACTGGGAGTTGGCAGGGGCAGATAAGTGTGTTCTCCACAGCAGACTAAGTAAGAGGAGCATCGTGAGCACTGCAGAATTTAATAGTGTGCATTGGGACTCCAGCCCATGCTGTGCTTACAATGGAATTTAATTTTCTTCCCATGCAAACAGAAACATATGTTTTTGTGTTGAAAGATGTGGAGGTGTAACTAAACAGAGTACTGTCCTTGGAGAGAACTGAAGCAACACCCTAATGGACATAAGGTGATGGGATTACTTGGCTCTCCTATGAAGTTTTATTACATTGCATTGGTTTTTTTGCCTTGTCCCTTTTGTCATTCTGATTAGTAAGACTTACCTCACAGGCTTACTTTTTTCGTGCTGATAAATGATTTGAAATGCACTAGTAAAAACTGATGCCTCAAGACTTATGATTTTGTAAGTTTGGCAAATACAGAGAATAAGCCTTTGCTTTAATTTTTGGGGTTGATTTTTTCCTTACTCTTTCTAGTTAAGGAAATCAGAGATGTTCAATCAAAGTGCGCATTCAGTTCCCCCAAACACCCCTCTTATTAGCACCTCATTTAGGCTGCTTGCTAAAGGGCATTACCTCTATCAGCCTAGTTCTTAAAACTAGAAAGATTTCTTGCTGGGCTTGCAGCAGCCTGGAGCCTTGCTCTGTTTTCAGCAGTCAGGCAAAAGCATTTACAATTAACCTTTACTTCCACGTTAGTTGAATTTTACTCCTGCCTACCGAGGAGTATAATCTAAATGCTATTAAAATAGAGTATGACTTCATATTATGTGACATCTGGTGACTTCCAATTATCTGTGTTTTGCCTGCCTATGGTGAAAAGGCAATTACGTTCTTCTGGTAGGATTTGCAGCAGTTTCAGAAGATATGATAATGCAATACTGAACAAGGGCAAGGAATCACGTTGGTGAGGAAAGACTCACGTAGGCTAAAAGTAGAAGTCAAGTGTGCATGTTTCAATCCTCAAAATCTGAAGCTGTTTATACTAATCCTTTGACATTATGTCCTGTTGGCAGGTATTGATCAGATACTGCCTGTTTGTTAGGAAACATGAATAAGATAGAGAATCCTCTTCTGTATTTTTCTTCTATCATTCTGTCTAAACCAATTTATTCATCAAGTCTACACAGATTTGCACAAATTAGGTGTGTTTTGAAATACATTGGTACAGCGTCTATGCTCATTGGCTCCAGTACTTGCAGAGGCTCTAGATATTCATCTTCTATATGATACAATCATTTTAATGAGATGTCATGCAAGAAGTGAAGCAAAGTTACTCGGCCAGATCTCAGGATATTGACGAACTTTAATTTCGTTCAAAAGCTGTGGCATAATGATTTCTTCTGTCGGTTACAACACATCCTATTCATTCATTCATCCACCCATCTTGACAATCCATATGCTAAAAAGTGCTTTCGTATGCAGTAACCCACCAGATTGTGACAATTCTGCAAATGATGTGACATGACACCCAACATGTTGAGGATTTTTTATTTTAAGATAGTTACCAAGAAATTTATTTCTGAAGCAAAGTATTACACTGAGCTTTGCAAACAGGGCTGTCCTATAGTATTGAGAAACAGAGTGCATTTATCTGCAAACACTGATGACGGAGCACAGCGTTTACTTAGTTACCGTGGTGAAATGGCTCAGTGGGGTACTCCACATCTGATAATAGGTGCTTGCACAAAAGAGTCCTAAAAGTGTCTATGAGACCGTAATTACAGGCAGTAGTAAAATCCAAGCCATATGTGGCAATAAACACCATACTTCTGTGCTCTCATGTCTCAGACTGAAGACAAATGGAGTCCCACCCTGCAGTTAGAGGATCTCTGCTCTGTTTACTCATACCATGTAAAATGGATAAGCTATTTGTTTTGTTTACACATTTTTCTGTACAATAATTCCTTTTTCCAGTCAGTGATTGGTTTTGTTATCTGTTTAATGCACAGCTGGCAAGAACAGCTCCAGCATGGCCACGAGACCTTCTCCTGGTAAAATGGAATGGATCATCCCACTCATTGTGGTCTCAGCACTGACCTTCGTGTGCCTCATTCTCCTCATCGCTGTGCTTGTCTACTGGAGGTGAGCCTGTTTCCTTATTATTGGAAACTGATTATGATTTAAAACACATTTCAGGTGGTGTTTTTAATGTGGCCCTGTGGTTTTTCTTTTATTAGAAGTTATGGTGCTAGATACATTAGATAACTCTCTGGATGCTAGAACAGCTTTGTTGGCTAACTGTTCAGCTGCCTTAAGTATTTATTTTTGTGTCATGAAAATGGGCTTGGTAGGGCTCCAGCAATGGTAGAGCCAGCTGTAATGGCGAAAAATATTTTCACAATTAGTCCCTTCAAAATAGCTATAAAAAGTTATCTTTGGCTTGGCCTTCAGGAAAAGTGGTGGTGGCAGAAAAGCCCAGTGAGACTGGCCTTGGTTCCATGGGTGTCTTTACCACAAACCTCCTGTGTAATCTTAACCAGTTCTTTCCTTCCTTTGACTGGACTTCAAGTAAGCTTGACTAAGCTTGTTTCACATTCCATAGGGATGCTCGGAGTCAGAGTTCTTTAGCATTGGTGAGGTGTTCAGAAGTGTTACCTGCAAGGTCTTGAAAGTAAAGATTGCCTCACACCAGTGGACATTGCTTCAGTGGTGGAGAGTAGGATTAGCATCAACAAATCCATCTCCATTTGATTTAAAGTAAATTAAAACCTGCAGGACCTGCTTAAGTCAGAACCAGAACCCAAAGACACCTCATTTGTCTGGAAGTTAAAGTTAACCAGGGATTAGTCACATACAAGGTATTTAGGAATTATTTGATTATATGGGACACAGGAAAGTAGCTTTGATGAGAAATACCGTCCCATTGATCATTATATTTGCAGAATCAATTTTAAAAGTACCAAGCCATTTTTCAGTGTACTCATTTCACTGACAATTAATTGGCCAAATTATTGAGGCTGAGAACATTTGAAATAATTAATAAATAGATGACAATAGCCTTGTGAAAATAATTTCTATTAACATTTGCAAATAATTAACATCCTTGCAGTAAGACACTGAATAAAATAGCACTGATATGTGCGCACAAGCTGAATTTAAAAAGGTTCTGAAGATCCCCTTGTAGTATGCTGGGTTTAAATATGTATTTTCTTCATTTGAAAGACTAAACTTGGTCACATTCACACCAGGCAAGCCCTGGAAGGATATGGTATATCCTGAAGCACTGTAATGAGGGGTTTGTGATTTTTAGCTCATGTTGATACAAAATGCTCTTCTACAGAGAAAATGTTTTGAAATGCAGTGCTAACAGCTATTATCTAGAGGAATGTTGGTACCTCTCACTGTTTGCAAAACATTTCCATTTCTTTGCAATTTCACTAATGGATCGAGAGAAATAATTGCAAAATTAGTGTTTAGTGTGCTCAACAGTGCCATCCCTGAGAAGATATTAAAGTTGGACTGTACTGGCTTAGTGACCAACAGTTAGAGATTAACTTTTGATAAATATTAGTTTCTGTTATAGATCGTAATATTAGTCTAGTAAAATTAAGGTATGCTGCTTTTCCAGTAATGTGTTATTTTTGCTTATGGACAATAATTGTTTATCTGCTCTCCACAGCATGCATCAATAGTTAACATTCATCAGTGGCTTTGGTAAAACTATGAGTTTCTAATTAATACCCTTGAGAGCATTAGATCAGTTTGTTTGCAAAAAATTGATACTAAAAAAGGTGGAGATAAAAAATTAATATAGAATGAAAATAATGTCATGTAGCAGTCAAAGCTTTTTGATAAATATGAAGCGACAAATTGAGAAACAATAAACAAACTTGAGAGCATGTGTACTAACTTCAAAATAAAGTGTATCTACCTTCTTAGTTCTGAGGACTTTTAACAAATACAAGGAGTGTATTGAAAAAGTAAAGATGTGTTTTAAGATAAATCAACAAGCAACTAGAACACAGATTGTCCACAGTAACACTTTGCATTGTGCAAACCATGTCACTGGAGCGGCAACACAGCATTTCATGTGCCCTTTGCAGTGTGATTGCCTTTCCTTAGGAAAAAATAAAATGGTTATCTCTGTTAGTGTTTTAAAGTAAGGAAAAAAATGATTCACAAACACTGCAGAATCTAATTTAGAAGTTTGAAAGGAACAGTGATTTGGGTTTTCAGGAAGAAATACTTAGCTTAAAATGTAATGGGCAACAACATATGGAATAATTTGCTAAATAACGCCATCAAAGCAAATGGCATGAAAACGAGTTTGAGACAGATATTTCAGTAACAGAAACATGGTATTGAAGTGCACAGCAGAGAAACACTTGATGAAAGGATAACCCTCAAGGGGACAGGCATGCTGGACCACAGGGCCTTTTCTTGCACAGCAGTTCTTTGTTTTGGTGTGAGAAAAAGCATTACAAAATAAAACCCAGAGAACTAGAAAAAGCAGAAGAGACATAGTTACCCTTTGGCAATACATTTAGAGGGTAAAACAAATGATATTTTCACTTTCGCATTTTTGAGCATTTGTGGAATTAGATGATTTGAGACCAGAGGTGACATAAGCAGAACAATGAAGCAGAGAGAAGCCTTCTGCTTGTTTCCCTTGCATCAGTGCCCTGTTATCCAGGGACCAAAATAAGGAGTTAGGGAAGTTTCTTGTGAAGGTTTGGCAAAGCATTATCTCTGTTTGGACTCTTCGTAACTCATCCCATGATACAGCAAAGAAATAAGTTTTGTGAAGATGACTTGCTGTAAGAAAGCTTCGTTTTCTGTTCCCTTTATTTGAACAGGAGAGTGATAGGAAACAGTCATTGTTTGATGAAGCTTTTCCTTTTTTTATCTGTTGAGCTTCCATGCTGTGTTCATTAGAGACTCCCTGTAATTGAATGTATTTGGAAATGATCTGTGCTGTTTCTGAACGAGACTACCTTTGCAGAGGTAATTTGCTGTTCTCAGTTCCTTTTCCATATGGATCTTGGACAAATGGTGAAAGAATATGACTGATGTTGAAGAGAAAGGGTCACTTCCATCTTTTTCACATGGTGGCCATCTCAGTAATGAAAAGGGATGGGAACTTGCAGGCAAGCAGCAGCTCTGAATTACCTTTCTACTAAAGTTTCCTGAATTCAGTACTTTTAATGGCACTGCTGTGCAAAGAGCGATGTGTGATTTTTAAGTTGGTAGAGTGGAAAATAAACTAGGTCAGCATAATGAAGCTGCAAAAATTGCGGTACCTTTTATCCCAGAAAAATGAGGAGAGCACAATCACAGGGTGACCGGGAGCCTTCAGATCCGCTGGGGCCGGGTGGCGGTTGGCTGCCTGGGCAGGAGGGACAGTGACACCTGTAGTTTCAGTTGGCTTCTGTGCATCTCTGATTCCTCTTGAGGAAAAGCTGGCCTGGCTGATCCTTGAGCTGTCATGGGCATGATGAAGGGGACTCTTGCTCCCAGGACCTCTCATGCTTGAAACTGATTTCTTTTAGCATCTAGTTGAGAATTTGAGTCTTATCAGACAGAAAAGATGAGGAGACCAGATTCTTGTTTTACTCACCATATGGATTCACCATTCACTTCCGCAGTGGCACAATGGTACTTTTTCCTGCTTCCTTTTCTTACACATTGGTTCCTGAAATTGTGTGCTATAGGGACAACCACTGAGTATTCTCGAGAACTGTTCACTGGGATTTTAGGGTCTTTGCTGGAGCACTGATAGCTCATCTAGAGCCCATTAAAACGTGGGCATTGAGAGGTACAGTTTCCCAAGCACATTATTTTTGCATTTCTGGGCATTTGTTTTGCATCTGTGATTTTATACCCATACTCACTATCATGAGATCTTTCTGCAGTTCTTCAAGGTCAGTTTAAAATTTGACTTGGGTTGTCTTAAGTCTTTGCCACTGTTACTCTCACAGTCTTTTCTGCGAGCTCCGAGAACTGCAGAGTGTGTTTGGTAGTGACCTCCAAACTATTTAGGGATTGAGTGTGACTTCAGTTTTTTTGCAACAAGGCGAGTTCCTATAGTATGCTGAGCTGTAATATGGCTTGAAACACATGTCTTTTGTAGAACTTCCACTACATTCTGTTGCCAATTGAACAAGTCCTGAGTATTGACACTTAGGGGTAAAACCAGGGTCAGTGTCACTTTCTTTTTCACAGAGATGCAGGAGGGTGACTAGAGCTGGGAAATCAACTGAAATACTTTCATACACAATAAGTTCTGTCATTTTGGGGGGGAAAAAACATATTTTAGGAGGGAGTGGTGACCTTCCACTGTTTGTTTTCCATTCTGATTTTTAATCTAAACACTACAGTCCTATAGACTACGGTTTCAAAGGGGAAAAAATAAGCAGAGAATATTAAGAAGCAATTAAGATTTTAGAGTTTAGCCAACAGCAACTTTTAAATGGGAACTAAATTATAGCCATTTCTCATTTTCAGCTAAGAGGAAGAAATTAATTCATGACTATAGCTGGAGAGTTTTCTTTTTCTTTCTTTTAAGCAGATACCATAATTCACCTTGAATTATTGCCACCATCAACATTGTGATCCTAAAGACAAAGCGGGAATATTGTATTGCATTTCTTATTAAATCAAGCTGTTTATACAGTGCTAATATGTTTACATTCAGGAGGGATTTTTGGAACAACACAGCTGCTGCCTTTCAAAGAGCAAGCAAGCTTGCGTTGCTTGTTTTATAGTCATGCGTGTATACGAGACAGCTTGGGAAAAAGATGTCTTTAATTTTCCTTAGGCAAAACCCTGTAGAATTTAGTAGACAGTAAGAGTTTTCTTAGGTTTTCGTTAAGCATCCTGTCAAATTGAACAGAATCTTTGGGACACATCCTGTGCCAGAGCCTTGTGCTTCTCTGGCAGTGCCTTTCTGTGCAGAAGAAATTACATTGAGCACCAGGAGATGCAGGTTCTTTTTCTGACTCAGTCATTGATTTTCTGTGTGACCCGGGGCCAAGTCATTTACGGGTGGAGAGTATTGTTGTTGAACTCAGTGGCAAAGACCTCACTGGGAGCAAGCTCAGGTGTTCAATATTTCAGCATCTGAGTTTTCTGACACTGGTAAA